AAGTCATAATTCAGACATTTTCCAACTTTCTGATTAATGTATAAATGATTAGTAAATGTACCTAAGAAAATGTATTTTATAATTATTACGCGTAGCTTATCATCTCTGCAAGTTTATTAAACTACGAGATTATAAATCTTGCTGGATACGTTTCATTAACTACTTTACAAAGCAGCGTTAACCGAAAGCCATTTGTCTGAAATTAGCTTCGCCGGCTTATAATGGATTTGAATGAAAGATTATTAACAGCATATTGCATATCTAGCTCTATTTATAATAACTCCTTCGAACCATAAATTGTATGCATATACATTTTTTATTTATACACATTATATATATTCAGATAATAGTTCTCTGAATTTTCAAATATATATATAGAGAATCTTTGTTCGTTTAACGTCCGAGAAGGAAATTCCTACAATGGCGATGCATTACTATCATTTTATGTATGTTTTCACGTATCCTGATATTTGGGGCATTTAAATTTCTCATACCATGCTGTCGCAAAAACTGAAAGAAACCTTTATCGTCGCGTTTCCGGTTCGAGTCAACCGAACAATCTACTCTTCTTTTATTTTTCACCTCACTTGGATTTTCTCTCGTCGGGACTACACAATCTTGCGTTGAGATGGCTTCGGAGTAAACTCCAGCGAAGGTGCGAGTAAATTTCAGGGATGGCTCTTGTGAGCGCACCGTGTCGGAAAGACGCTTCGTGTTCTCAACGCCGACGGATCAATTAGCAACGAGCGTAGAAGAGAAGAGGGCTCCGCCCTTATGGCGGATTTCACGACGCATGACATTATCTAGCGCACTAGTCATTACTTTTATCGGCCATTCAAGTTCGAGACACGGAAATTGATCGAGGATTACGACGTATCACGTTTTGTTGATCTCGCTGCAAAAATTTTGAAAAAAATACAGGCTGATAAAATACGAGCTGAGATCGAAAAAAACTCATTCCTATACCAGCTGTAAAAATTCACATAGATTTGATATATTCGCGAACTGTTAATCAAACGTGTCGCATCGTCCGATTTTACACTTTACCCTTCGAATAAGATCTTACGAAGGTACACGATATAATTTCGTTATAAATTTGCATTTTTTTTTACTCACGTTAAAAATATAGTTAATTTAAAAACCCGATGTGTTTAAAACTCGTTAATTTAAATCGCGATGCTGATTGAAAAGCGCACGAAAATTTATTTATAATCTTGTTTATTATCTGTAATCAAAATCGCGTTGGTTCTTTTTAAAATACAATACGTTATGAGACATCACGAACTTTTGCATATACGGGGGACTTTACTGGAAATTTACTATCGTCTTTAACTTCGCATTGGCTGCATCGCACAGACGTCGCCTCTGCATAAATAATGCGAAAGCTATCCAAGTAAAAACACGACATCAACTTAAGCAGAAAAAAGAAAGAGCGAGAGACTATTTTTCTTCTCCGAGTTAAATTAATCCCTCCAAGAAGTATCGATTAATTCGAAAGTCGCGACGACCATCCATCTTAAAGTCACGCGTCGTTCATCCCTTTACGTGAACTTCGGGCCATCTTGAAAAGATGGCAGATTGCTTTGACAAGAACCAAGGAATTCATCAAGAAAAGGGATATTAGTCACGCGAAAATAACGGAAATTTGTACCGACATGCTTCTCCTTCCTTTAACAAACGCTCATCCGTTTTATGTGACCCATAGAAGAAGACAAGTTGCGATCATAAAAGAGACATGTTGGGTCGATTTCAGAAAAACTATCACGACGCATAATTTTCTAATTAGTATTTTTCTTATCGCATACTAGGTGCAGTAAATATTTGCAATTCGCGCGTACGAGCAGACACGAAGTGCGAGGGATTAAGGCAAATTGGAAATTATATTAGCCCGGAGGAAACGCCGGGGTTCTGACATAAAAGCTAAAAGCTCTCTGGGAAAAATATAAGTAAATCTCACCGGCATGTTTCACCGTAGAAATTAACGAGGCTTCTTCTTCCACGGCTTGAATGCTCTCTCTTCCTACCGTAGCATCCATGTAAACGTATGTACTTATTTACACTTCAACACTTTGAGCTGGACTGTATATGTATACTATATGTGTGTATAATTGATTTGCATACGAATGATTAAACATATAGATATTTATGTTTAATCATTCGTATGCAAATCAATTATACACACATATAGTATACATATACATTTATGTAGGCGTACAACGCCTTTCATACGAATATATGTTTAAATGCAATGCGCGCAGTTTGCTTATGTGTGCGTTGGAGCGAATACTTCTAACTAGTATCCGGTTACATTTTCGCATATGATACACACGAGAGCATCCCGTACCGACAAGTAAACACCACCGAAGCGCGCCGAAACAACGGCTTTCTCAGGGAGAACTATACGCGCGGCACACCACTTATAACACGAGTAGAAGGGAGTAGCAGAGGAGAGCAATTACGAACATCTGCTCTCGAATCTACGTACACACATAGCGCGGCGAGTTCCATACTGGCTTTCATAAGCTCGACTTTAATCCTTAAACGCGTCCCGTCTCTCGTCAGCACCGGTAATACCCGTTAACGTATATCCGGAGATCGTTAGACGCGACGACGAGGCGTTGCCGTGAAAGTTAAGACACGATTTGCGAACTTTTTGCGTGTCAAATTGGTTGACGCTTTGTTCACTACTTGTGTGACCTCTACTAAAATATTGAATGTAAAAGACAACAGGATATCGATCAGCAATAAAATTAACTAAAATGTATAAAACGATTTGTTTTGCATTCGCATTCATTTGCATAATAATTTATCGCTTTCGGGCGTGATATCTTTTTTATTTTTTGAAGTAATACTAAATATTCTGTTTTTCATTATACAAAAGTTTTTGTATAATGTATTCGTTTATTTATATGAAAGTGCAATGAATATGAACTATTTAACCTAATTACTAATGTGTGAAATAGAAATATTATTATAATTAATTTACGCTAGCAATAAGAATAATTTGAAACTATACTAAATCATCCAAATGCATATATTATGCTATTATAATTAATAATAGATAATTAATAATGCAAAGTAATCAATAATAATTTATGACTGTGATCTATAATGTAATGCTATTTCTGCAAATGGGTCACGGTTTTGTAACTATAGTATGTGCTAAAACAAGAAAATGAATTGAAAGAGATATAATATTATGATCCTTTGAAAGGGCTAAAGGAGCTTTGTAAACGGTTTTCAAATTCCTCTCGAGATAAACATAATTCGCATAACAATACGCGCCATGATTAATCAACGTCACTTCGTTAGGACGATTGCACAAGCTGACTGTGACCCTCCGCATTCCGAAATCATGAGAATTACACAAGCATTTAGGTATTCTTGTTACAGTACAATGTTGCGTATGTCACGCGTTAAATACACGTCTATTTCTTGATAAATAATTATATTCTGGATGAGTAATAAACAAATAATTTAGTAACAGTGTTAAGTAATTAATTAATTTTCACACGAGATATCAAAGCTAATATTATCATTCAAAGCTAATACTATCATTTTATTTTAATAAATTATGCAAGATATTTCTTTTCATATACGCGAAATAAATATTTCAGACAAAAAAAATCTTGTGTTGCTCCTTAATAATACATGAAATTTTTAATCGCCTCTAGGAATATCAACTTCGCATAAATTATTCGCGGCGCCTTCTAAAACAACATTTCTCATAATGCAAGCGCTATATGCGGCAAACATCCAGCCAGCAGTTTCTTGCGTCAGTTTGCACATATTAGCGTGGCTTTTGTCCCCTGCGGTTGGTTGAATACACCAACGAGATAGACATGCTGCGAATGGGCGGGCAAGCTGCTTTGATACTCTAACAAGCGCGAACAGCGCCTCTGATTTATGTGTATTATACCTATTTACATAATGTTGACTCTTTGTATTCTAAATAAGATAAAATTACGATGAAAAGAATATACTTGACACTTGTCACAACTAATATATATATATATATATATATATATATATATATATATATATATATTAATTAATTTTATCACCGACGATCGATATCCTGTTATTCTGTATATTCAATACATATATATAGTAGTTGCCACATAATTACATTGTCAAATTCGATATTAGATATAGATACAATCTGGCAATAAAATAATTATTAGAACTGTAATTACAGAACAATCTGACATAGCCAAAAGTCAGTTGTAGTATTGTACTTATTGTTAGCTATAGCATTTGTATTATAAATATAAGACGTAATAAAAATAACTTTATTTATTGCTATAATTCGCGTTGGATAATATAATGTAATAATTATTCGCGTATCGTTACTTTTCCCCAAATATGTATATATATTAATTCTAGAAGTTATATATACGTCAGAAATTAATCTCGGATAACTTTCATCGTTGATGTTGCATCATACCGTTACATATTCCGCCCTCGTCAAGGAGATAACACAATTATATCTTAATTACACTATGCGTTCCCAAGAAAAGCCAGTTGATCGCTAAACTACTACTGCTAACCTCGTTTCCATAATACAGTAGTTATGCACACCGCAAGCGTTATATACATGCGCAAGCATTAATCTTCTTGTAGCAAAATAATAGCAACTGATATCAGCTTTAGATATATACATACATGAAGTATCTCGCAATTAATACACGTCAATCTTTCAAGAGCGTAATTGCTCAAAACTTTTTCATGGCATATATACTTTTCATTTAATTAAAAAAAATCTTTCTAAAAAGAAATAAAAAAAAACATTCAAGAATATAAAAAGTATTCAAATTTTTGTATAGAACAAATAAAAGTTAAAAATTTTTTAAAATACTATATACGATGTATGTATATATATATATATATATATATATATATATATATATATATATAAAACCATCAGAAAAAAAAAATATATATATATATATATTTTTTTTCTGACTGTTTTATCATAAAATAAAAAGTTTTTCACTCACCAATCGATGTACAATAGTAGAATTGATTTTCGTAGATATTGATCTGTAACATATAAATTTAAAATGCAAATTATAATAATATTTAAAATAATTAATATATTAAAATATTATTAAATTCATAAAATTCGATGTATACAATAATAAACAAATATATATTTGATGAAATACAAATATATATATTTTATGGAATAACGATATTTGTCAAAAAAAAGTATTCTTTTTAAATATAAGCTTTTATTTTTCTTATTTTTTATTCAAAGGATCCAAATAAACAAGTAATAGGTTAATAAAAAATAATATAAATATTGTTTTTAAAGTTGTTCCACCGTTGCCTGATGTCTCTCCTCCTTTCAGGCTATTGCATTTATTCGCAAAAACACGAACCGTCCACGGTGAAAATAAACGCGCGATACCTTGTACTCTCGAATTAATCAAGACTCGACGAACCATTTATCTTTTAACTAACGTCCGCTTCATTTTCTAACGCGCAATTTTATCCGCGATCGTGAATAAACGAATCAATTCCGTTTCGCAAACGATTGCATTCCAAATCAACGAATCGAAATAACAACGATAATGTCGAGTAAAAATTAAGCTCGAAGCAAGACAAGATCTAATCGATCAATAAGATTGATACGAATGAGATTTATTCCGAGATTCTCGTTTCCTTATTCGTATCTTACAATTATATCGACTTGAACTCAATTAAGTACGACTCGTTATGAAACATTAAGGTACTTTAACACAGAAGATATCATACGGCAGACATGATAAGAGAAAGTACTTATTTCCGCGATGCTAACAATTTAAGCAATCTAGGGAATGGGAGGCCAATCTCTCGTGCAAAATCGGACTAAGTTGCACCAGTCAACCTATCAACGCGATTCATATGAGATATTACGGCATATAAAAGTCATCACTACAAGTAATATCATATGACAAGATAGACGGAACGAGAGGAGACCCATTAACGACGATTCCATAATCGACCGATTCGGGTCGAGCTGCTTGTCAGAGCAGAACGTGCTCTCATTGACCGTTCCGCAGCAAGGTCTCAATGAGATATCTCACTCCATGGCATCGGAAGAGCGATCATCGGCGATAATCATAAACGCGAAGAGGGATATTGATAAAATAAGTTTTATAAGCCTTAAAAAACCATTTACGTGCTCAACTTTCCCTTCAGGATAAACCTTCGCTAAGCCTTTTCGCCAACTTTAAGATTTATCCGATAAATCTCATTGATAAAAAAAATTTTACACGTGCATATGCATACGAAAATAAAACTTAAAATAAGAAAAATGATTATTTTTTTATTTCGAGATCTCGAGAATGATTGGATCAATTTTATTCTGATCGCAATTTAAGGTTTATATCAAAATCATATCAAAAAATTGCTATTAGATTTTTATTACACGACGACTCTAGTTATAAAGATATTTGAATACACTGCACATGCTTTTGATATAAAAATTCCAAATAAGCTATTTGATGATATATCGTGAACATGATTACGGCCAGTGGTTTTTTTTTATATACTTGACGTTGTGACATCGTGACAAACAGAAATAATAAAAAAGAAGTAGGAAATAAAAAACATATCTTAAGAAAATCCGTAGAAAATTTTTCATGTAAATCTTATGCACATAAAAAATTCTACTTTATGGAAAGATATTTTACAGTCAATAGTTCTATCGCTGATTTTATTCAATACTATAAGATACGAATGTTCTGTCACCGTTTATGATAAGAAATTGCATATCCATAATTTCGTCAAATGTCATTTCACCTTATGTAGCGGGACTTAACCTTGATGTACGCTAAGCCTGAATATCTATGGAAGCTTTGTATGCTGGAAGGTGACAATAATGTGCAGCCGATAGTGTGAGAGGGGGATCGAGCATCCTGTTCGAAAACCGATAAACCGGAGGGTGAAACTATCGCCTCTTTCTCACCGTCTGCTGGAGGCTCGACATCGCTGTACCGTTCTTAACTTCCTTTCCGTTCTTTCTTCCTGCTTCGCTTTTTTCACCTACGGTGCCGCGCAACATCTATTTACCATAAAATAGAGTTTCCAGCTCTCTAGGCAGCTAGACTTGCATTTACCGCCGCGCCGTTTATTTCTTCCCCTTCTTATCGTGCAACGAGCGACATACGGAAAAAGTTCCAGACGTGCAATGTGGATGAAAAATCTCTAGTATATCTGACATTAACTGCACGCCAAATACAATTCGCCAATTGAACGAACATTTTCGAAGCTAACTAAACAAGTACATTGAAATTTTTTTATTTCTTTACTTTCGATTTTTTTTGCAAAAACTCGAACAGAATGAAAAGTAAAAATACTTGTTCGCTTAATCACTATCTTATATCTTGTTTTAAATTATATTTTGACAATCTCTCTATGCTTATTAAATTATTCAATTTGACCAGCGAGATTTGAATTTAATATTAATTATCGTTTCTCTAGAGTCTGCTTCTGAACAATCACTCTATAATTTAATTTCATTACATTTATGAAAAGTTTTCAAATAATAATCTCTTATCTCTTTTTTTCAATTATGTAAAGAAAATATAATGTATGTGCTTCTATGAAAATATCATACATTTTTTTATCATTACCCGGCGGTAATTATAATAGACCATTGCTAGCAGCAAATAGATCTTTCTATAAAATAATTTTCGATATGCGAATTGTTACTTTCATCGATTTTTGTCAATAGATATTTATCGATAAAAAATTATACATTCTGAGTATACAAACAAAATCCTTGCTACATATTCACTCGAAAATTTAGAAAAATTTGCATACAATAGTGATGCAAAATGTCTCGTAAGGCGGATTCGAAACTATGTAAGAAGAAATATATTTTTCGAACTTGGAAGGCGCGATTTGGATGCAATCTTGTATCAAGACTCATAAATATCTTTTCCCCGAGATCTGTGCGACGATAAATGCATTACTCTGAAGGCACGAAAACTTTCAGAACATACTACTACGTATATAGTTTTCTTCGACTTTCCACATTCGAAACAGTTACGATCGTCGAAGAAATATAAATCTGCGTATTATATTAAATATGTATCGAAAGTCTAGTTTTAAACAATTTCTTGCTTCTTGTTCATATTCCTTCTTTCTTTTTTTTAATTATACATAGGAAATATTATATATACTTTTATAATATAATTACACATTTCAAATTATTATCTTGCGTAAATCGTGAATAAATTTAATAGAGAACTGTCAGTAGTAAATAAATTTTTTTGAAAGAACATTATTCTTTCAAAAAATACAAATTTATTTAATTCTCTGAATTTCACAAATAACATTTTATTGTCGCTCAAACTTAGCACTAATAATATTCTTCTTTAAATAACTCTTTAAAACTTTTATAAAAAGTAAAATATTAATATATATGGCTAATATATAAAAGTGTGTCTATTGTATAATAATTGTAAATATTTATTAATCATATTGATTATCATTTTTATATTCATTATCATTTGTAATTTATGCGTTGAATTTCTTTTAGCATTATGCCGCACGATGCTGATGTCACCAATGCATAGCGCGATTACGTCCGTGGAAAAAGAAGAGTTTCCACTTTAGAGTTTGATCTTCACGAGAAGCGTGTAATTCATTGTGTAAGCACGTCGACGAGGTAAGTCAACTAAACACGAACAGATCTACAATATACGCGACAGTCGTGCTAAACGTGAATTGGGACACGACACTTTTTCCGTTCTAGAAGCCTCGAAAATGAAAAAGAATATATTTAGTCACGTACTTACTACGAGAGGGGTTGAATAGCTAGCTCGTGGGATGGAGACTGCGATTCTACTAGAAAATTCACGATCGTGCAGTCGTTGTTTATTCGGTTTCGAGAGTGAAGAGAATACGCTTCGCAATGAGCTGGAACGGATTTCCTACCATATATATCGATACATCGACAGAGATAAAATCGCACAAAACGGATACTAAAAAACATACGCCAACATAAGTTTGTTTATAAACTGACAAGATCGATACTAATTTATTGAATTTATTATGCATCGAAAGATTTTTTTAATAAATCGCATATAAAGCGGATTATCGAGTCTAGTATCACGCAAACTCCATTTAAAGAACACTATATATGTACGTATTGTATATGTATGAGAGAGATTTCAATTTATCGTTACCAGGATTACGTGTCCGCACTCGTGCACCATTGTTTACAATTTGCCAGTAACGCGTTGAAAATAAATTTTTGCAACCACAATCTCCGCAGAAAATATCAACAACATCAGAGTAAAAGGCGAAATAAATAGTATTACACATTTTAAAGTGTTTGTCGCCACGACGAGAAATCTACCTCGAGTAATAAATCACGAGAGAGCTACATTTATCGTGAGCTGTTGTATTTATCAACTTGCCCAGTTGCAAATTACATCGCAATGATAAACATTGCGGAATAACTGTTTTTAAGTGGACATTTCCCGTTATTATAATCGGTCTTTTGTTTATTCGTAGGATTTGTTATCCAATTAAATCGCATATAATGAAATTATAAGAAAAAAAATTGTGATTTCGCTCCGCTATTTTTCTCATCTACGCTTTTTCAGGGGAGTAAGAGAGGCATTCAAATTAAAACTCTCGAATTGAGATTTATATATTTACTTGATATAAAACCAAGCTAAGAAGGGTATAAAGGATTAAATTAAAGGTCTCGAATTAAGATGTTTAAAAAAACCCGTATTAAACTAGAATATTATTAATCGTGTAAATATTTAATCTCGCGATGCAAAATAATATATGAAATTCTATGACAACAAAAATGGAAGATAAATTATTTGATAACAATCGCTGGAACAAAATGCAACCTGTAAGCGCCGTTCGGATGGTGTTTGCGATTATATCGCGTGCCCAAAAAAATTCCGCTTGTCGTAAAATTGAATTTCTGCTAGTCAGCATCGACTCAAAACGAACTAACAGCACGCGAGATTGCATTTACCGGCGTTCGAAAGCGGCTACGCCACATTGGCAGAAATTTCGGTCAGAAT